GGTCTTCCATCCCAAGTAAATGTGCAATAGCATTCCAGCCTTAAAGACACAACATTCCCGTTGAGAGGAACAGGACTATTCCAAGCAAGTAAGGCTTAGAATTATGGGTTACATGATTCACATGAAACATTAACATAATATCATAGTTGGCTGATGATTTGCTACCAGGCCAGGTTCAAAATTATTGATTCACTAAGCCAAACACAACTTGGGCGCAACGTACCTTCAAGACCATCTGATCCTTTATACTCCACCTCAGTCACTGAGATCCTCTGATGGGGCCTTTCTGGTAGGTTCCCATGCTCCTGAGGTTTGGTTGAAGACCAAGTCTTTGGTGTGGCAGACCCTGCCCAGTGAAACTCCCTACCTGAAAAGGTCTGCCAGGAAGCATCCCTGCTTCCTTTCAGACATCCCTTGAAAACTGTACTACAAGATGTGACTGGAAAGTTTAGTGAATGGTCACAGAAATCAAACAGTGATAAATATTCAAACATACAATTGGCATCAGAAACCCATTAAATGGTCACAATTGGGTACAGAGATGAAGCCGTAACTTGAAAGACAATGTATGAGTGGCAGGCCGTCAAGCAAACAGCAGCAAATGTCGATGGAGTTTGTGAGTTATTGATGCGGGATTAGCATTTGTCCATCTGAATGATGGTGGAATTGCATATTCCACGTGAAATTGTTGCTGAGGTTACTGAGTTGTCCCACCCTCCATATTCTCCTGATCTGGCCCCACCAGATTTATTTCTTTTTCAAAAACTGAAATCTGCACTGAAAGGACACAGATTTTCCAACATTTCACACATCTAAGCTGCTGTGACGAGGGAACTGAAAGCAGTATGAAAAGAGGATTTCTCCAGAGGTTTCCAACAGTTCTATGAATGTTGTCAACGGGGCATTGTATCAGAGGGGGCCTACTTTGAAGGCCTGTAAGGTTGTATGTTTGAACATTTCTGTGACCGTTCCACAAACTTTCTGGTCACACCTTGTATTTAGATACCCCCTCACTATATGATTTTTTTTCCTTTTTAACCAGCTGTTTCATTAATGTTTTAAATTATGTTTTCTAGATATAGTGATTTATTTTGTTGTTGTAAGCCACCTTGATATATTTTATGAATGTACATATCATACATATTCAAAGAAATAAAATACGCTGACATGTTAAGAGCACCGTCCGTTAAGAGTTTGGGTGTAATCTTCGATACCTCCCTCTCTATGGAGGCACAGATTACAGCTATAACAAAGGCGGCATTTTTTCATCTCCGCCAAGCTAAGCAGTTGGCCCCTTATCTCTCTCGCCCTGACCTAGCCACTGTGATCCACACGACGGTCACCTCCAGACTGGATTATTGTAACTCGCTCTACGTGGGGCTGCCCTTGAGACTGACCCAGAAACTCCAGCGGGTGCAGAATGCCGCAGCGAGACTCCTTATGGGGTCTTCGCTGCGAGATCACATTCATCCGGTACTATACCAGCTGCACTGGCTCCCGGTGGAGTACAGGATCAGGTTTAAGGTGCTGGTTTTAACCTTTAAAGCCCTATACGGCCTAGGACCCTCGTACCTATGGGACCGCCTCTCCTGGTATGCCCCACAGAGGAACCTACGGTCTGCAAATAAAAACATCCTGAAGGTCCCAGGCCTCAGAGAGGTTAGGCTGGCCTCAACTAGAGCCAGGGCTTTCACGGCTGCGGCTCCAATCTGGTGGAACGCTCTGTCACAAGAGACTAGGGCCCTGCGGGACCTGACATCTTTCCGCAAGGCCTGCAAGACAGAGTTGTTCCACCAGGCCTTTGGTCAGGGCCCAGCCTGACTCCCTCCTCTGGCAACCTGCACAGAACTTTGCTTAACGGTTGCCATTAATTTGATTTTAATTAATTTTTATAATGAAATGTTTTAGAATGTTGGATTATTTGATTGTTTGATTATTTGTTTGTTGTTAGCCGCCCTGAGCCTGGCTTTGGCTGGGGAGGGCGGGATATAAATAAAATTTATTATTATTATTATTATTATTATTATTATTATTATTATTATGTTCACACTGTGTTGCATTTGGACTTTGCTGGAAGTTGAAAGCTACTGGATTCTATTATGAACATGTGGGTCTCATCTGAAAAGCAAAAAAGGGTTACAAGGTAAGGAAAAGTTAGTGAAAATTGCTCCCTCCCCTTTCAATAAGTGGGAGCATCCCAGGAGAATAATTCCATTCACAGGATCTCAGAATCCAACCATTGTCTCTGAACTCAAATTGAATTGGATATTCTTCTCTCTTGTTGGGTCTAGCAAGCAAAATATATGATAACCTTACCTATTCTCCCAGTCTAGGTTTCCCAACAGGTGAACAGCAGAGCAAAATGGATGGATTATCCTACTAATTAGCTTTGAATATTATAACAACAGTAACCCACAAATAAATTCCTTATGATGGTCATTGACCACAACAATGAAGACTTTATTTGAATCTATGAATAAATGCCTTTGAAGGAAGAAAAATATTAATAAAAATAATAGTTGAGAATATCCAAGATTAGATCTTTAAATAAGAAATATAACACCCCAACAATAAATACAAGTTTAGATAATGTGTGCAGCACGCGTTACTCAAGAATCTAATGGGGATTTTATATTCTACATTGCTAGAGCTTTTCTTTAGTTTCTTCTGTCTTTCCATAAGATCATAACCCCTTTCCCCATTATGCAAATACATAACTAAGACCCTTTGAAGAATGCATTTTATGAGCCTGTTAGACAATAATGGCTTTTAAGTAGCTGTTATGAGTGAGTTTGTCAATACTTATCAAGGCACATTTAAAAACACTTTATTCAGACATTATGCTGATGAAGATTATTATTTGAGACTTAGGATAGGTGAGGTTACTAACCTACTCTCAGTTATTTCTAAGACAGCTTTGACAAAGTATTTCCCATTAGTTAAAAAAAAAAATACAACCAACAAAAGCCAGGCTACTGAGCAATACTAATAATGCAATGAAAAAATAGTTGTGTGATGTTTCATGTGCACAAAATCACTCTAAATTCTGGTTACAAATTTCTGGGCTAAGGCCTTGGAATGGCGATTGAGGTTTTGTGAGGTTCCGAACGTTACTGACTTCACTGGAGAGCCATCAATAAGAAAATGGTTTCCATTTTTATATACGAGGTCCCGAGTTCACCTATCAAAGCAATCTCCTATTCAGAACTCTGATGTGTAACATCTCTAGTTGATGGAGACAGATTTCTGTAGTCAGCTTTAAAGAGTTTCTTTTCAACAAAGGAACAAGCCGAGCAGGGTAGCCAATAATGCATAATGGACGACAACAGAGGACACAGATTTAAATTACGTGATTATTAGGCCATAAACACACCATACATTTAAAGCACATGACTTCCCACAAAGAATTCTGGGAACTGTAGTTTGTTGGTTTGTTACTTTGACAAACTTTGGCTTGAGTTTGGTAGAAATGGCAATTGAGAGAGCTTTATGCCAAACTCAAAAACGGAGGGTGGATTAGGATAGTAGAGCTGCGCTTGAAAAAGAACAGACAAATCCATGAAAGCTATAGATGTGTAAGTTCCACCTACACTGCCAGAGGCAATATGTCTCTCAATACCAGTTGCTGTGAATCACAAGTAGGGAGAGTGTTGTTGCATTTAGAGATCTGGTTGGCCACTGTAGATGCAAGACTCCTGAACTGAGAAGGGGATTGCAGTTAGGGAGCTTTCTGTTCCACCCTCCTTTCATTACATGCAGCACTGCTTCCGTTCTGCTGCAGTTAGTCTTCTGTGTTGTCAGTCTCACTATCTTAACTTACGATATTTATGTAATTTGTAATGCCTAATAAAGTTTTGGCGAAGTAAGTAAGTAAGTAAGTAAGTATTTATGTAGTTAATTATTCCACTCCATTCATTTCAATGCCAAGGAAACACAATGAAAATGGGGTGAAATGTCATCAGTTATCAGGGCTCGCCCAAGACATTTTGGCTCCTGAGGTGAATCAACAAAATGGCGCCTATCCCTCTCAGCTAGGGAAGGTGTGAGTGAAGATGTACATCAGGAACAAGGGAGGAAGAAAGATCCACATTGTGATCTGCTGCCCCTGTGGACCCTGCCGCTCGAGGCGGTTGCCTCACTTTGCCTCCTGTAATTAACAGGGCCGGCCCACCCATATCACTTGCGGACTGAAAGCAGCATCAACAGTGGATACTGATTTTATTTGCTGGATTAATAATAATAATAATAATTTTTTATTTATATCCCACCCTCCCCCGCCAAAGCCGGGCTCAGAGTGGCTAACAACAAGTAAAAAAGCACAGTGTACATAAAATCACACAGTCAATTAATTAAAATACATTCTAAAATCAATTCAGAATCAAATTAATGGCAACCATTGGGCTAGAGTTCTATGAGGATTTCAGAAGGAGAGAGGGGGTCAGACTGTGCCTTGGCCAAAGGCCTGGTGGAACAGCTCTGTCTTGTAGTCCCTGCAGAAAGATGTCAAGTCCCGCAGGGCCCTAGTCTCTTGTGACAGAGTGTTCCACCAGATTGGGGCCACAGCCGAAAAAGCCCTGGCTCTGGTAGAGGCCAGCCTAACCTCCTTGTGGCCTGGGATCTCCAATATGTTTTTATTTGAAGACCTTAAGGTCCTCCACGGGACATACCAGGAGAGGTGGTCCTGTAGGTACGAGGGTCCTAGGCCATATAGGGCTTTAAAGGTTAAAACCAGCACCTTAAACCTGACCCTGTACTCCACCGGGAGCCAGTGCAGCTGGTATAGCACTGGGTGAATGTGATCCCACGGTTAGGACCCCATAAGGAGTTTCGCTGCAGCATTCTGCATCCGCTGGAGTTTCTGGGTCAGTCTCAAGGGCAGCCCCACGTAATTTCTCTTCTGGACATGTTTCCATTTTTGTCAACATTCTCCAACATCCCAAGTTAGAGCAAATGACCCTGAGGTCCCTCCCTTGGAATAAAATGAGATACAAATAGAAAACATGAGACTTCAGCAGATTCTTCAAGTTCTGCCCCTCCGCCCTCCATTATATCTGCATACAAACAGCTATATTGTTCTGGACATACACAGTCGCCATTCTTGCAGTCACAGAAATGCCTCCTTTTGGTTCTTCTCCCCAACCTACAAGGCAGTCGAAGGTAACCATTAAGAGAGAATCTATTTATTTATTTCCCAGGAATATCAGCTAATAAAAGCATCTCGGTTCACAAATATTATTTTTGTGCAGCCTTAATTCAGCCAAGTGGATTTCTTCATTTGGTTGCCCTCTGTGTCGACTTTGTGCCTGCCAAGGATTAGCCTGGAGCAAATTTTGACAGCAATAAGATATCCACCCATAAAATCAAGTGTGCAGCCGGCACACTTTAATTTAAATAGCACTAAGTTTTGTATATATATGCGCACGAACAGAAACAATTCAGAAATATTCAGCTTAAAACAGAATATTATTCTCGGTGGTTTATTTCTAGAAAAAATTGTGCTGGTACTATATACCGCTGAGTGCCACCAGAAAAAAGCACTGGTCTTCCCTATCGCCCAGGCTTGTTGTGAGGACACACTGAGTAAATTAAATCATAAAGCGGCAGCAGCAAAGAAAGGGCACATCGCTTTTAACCTGGCTGGCAGCAGTCCTCTGCTAAGCACAAGTCTCTGGGATTCTCTTGTTTCACATATCCTGCCAACTCTTTTTCCTCATAGCACTGACAGGAACATTGGGGAGCCAAGGACGGAAAAGTTTTGCCATCGCTCCCTGAAGCCGTCTGCCAAATGTGACAGATCTTCCCCTAGCTGTGAAGAAGAATGAGAGCTGGAAGAAGATATTTCATAGGTACGGTTGCTAACTTCTTCTGTTAACAGGGCTCTCGTGTGGCAGTATGACCAGCACAAGTTCCCACTTTTGTTGGGGTGGGGATATTGCAAATGCTTGGATTTCTGCCCGCTGCACAATTCTTAAATGTGAACTGTATAACAGTGGCAATCCCAAAGATGAAAAATAGGATAGCGGGCAATACCTAATTTTAGATCTGATACTAGATTTTATTCAAAAGGAGGATGTGACTGGACAGTACACTGGTGTCTCCCTCTCTTGCGGCAAAGAGAGAGAGAGAGAGAGAGAGAGAGAGAGAGAGAGAGAGAGAGCAGGAAAGTCAGATGTTTCTGCTCAGCTCTTATTTTACATAAAAAACTTCAATTGCTTTATTTTAGACATTTCTGACAACCGCATGCAAGTCAATGGAGCACAGCGCTTTTGCACTAGATTTGGCCTGGGAAAAGGTACAAGGAAATAATTTGATACTGCTCTTTGACAAACTAGATGTTTTGTATGGGGGAATTTTTCAGCTGAAAACCTCAACTTCAGCAACCTGCAACATGGACTGAACTCAAATTTTTAGACAAATAGAGCTACACAACCCTATCACATATATTGTCTCACAAACAAGGCCCACTGAGTTGGTAAGAGCATGCAGCTGATAACGCCAAGGTTGCAGGTTTGATCCTCATCTGGGACAGCTGCATATTCTTGCATTGCAGGGGGTTGGACTAGATGACCCTCAGGTTCCCTTCCAACTCTACAATTCTATGATTCTAGTAATCCTGGGATAAGTGTGTGGAGGACTGCAGCCTATTTTTTTTGCATGGAAGACTGGGCTTTGTTTCAGGAACAACAGCTGACTCACTAGTGTCCAGTCACAGCTGCAGGAAAATGTTGGCTTTCTCGGCTGAGTTTACATTTGAACCTATTATGAGTGATGCTTAACATCACTTGGGATGAAGGAGTATGGGAAATGCTCATCAGATTCATAGATGACAAGAAGCTGACTAGGTTAGATAGTATTATAAAAGACAGAAACAGGAATTAAGGCCATATTGGCAGGTTGGAGACCTGGATCAAAAGTAATGAAATGAATTTCAGGAGATAAACATAAAGTTCTGCATTACAGTGGGAAGAATTAGATGCACAAATATAGGATGGATAGGTATCTGCCTTGATAGCAATGTATGTCATAAAGATCTAGACATTCTAGTAGACCGCATGCTGTACATGAGTTACTCTGGTGTCAGAAGCAAACAGGCGGGAGCCACTGCCTCAACAGACAAAGGCAAAGTTTGGAGTAGAGTTTTGCAGTGTGATGTGACCAAGAACTAAAGCAAGCAAGATGCAGAGTCAAAGCGATGTTTGGGAGCAATATTTTATTTCTATTTCAATCCAAGACTTTAGTTCTGGGGGCAAACAAAACCCTTTTGGGGTGTTGATGCTGTGAACCCCTCCATCACTGGCTCGGATTGTATATATGTAAAAATAAACCATATATCATAAAGGTAAAGGACCCCTGGACGGTTAAGTCCAGTCAAAGGCGACTATGGGGTTGCAGCATTCATCTCACTTTCAGGACGAGGGAGCTGGTGTTTGTCCACAGACAGTTTTCTGGGTCATGTGGCCAGCATGACTAAACCGCTTCTGGTGCAACGGGACACCGTGACGGAAACCAGAGAGCACAGAAACACTGTTTACATTCCTGCCACAGCGGTACCTATTTATCTACTTGTACTGGTGTGCTTTCAAACTGCTAGGTTGGCAGGAGCTAGGACAGAACAACGGGAGCTCACCCCATCGCACAAATTCGAACCATTGACCTTCCGATTGGCAAGCCCAAGAGGCCACAGCCTCCACTATGACACAATCCGAAAGGAAACACAAACCCTGGGAAAGCAGGTGGAACCCGCAAAATTTCACACTGCTCAGAGATTGGGGTGACTTGGCAACAATACACATGTTTGTATCACTCATAAGTGATGTGACACACAGGTGTATTTGATCCTGAATACAAAACAAATGGCAAGTAGTCACTCGTTAGAAATGAGTACCGATGGAATGAAAGGAAGAGGATATAAAAAATTGAAAGTATATATGCTATATAGATAGGCTCAATGGATTAAATAGCAAGCTAATAAAATGGGTGCCCAACTGGATAAAAGCAGGAAAGAAATAAAGATTATGTAGTACTGTTGTGGTGTTAAAAGTGTTAAATTTAGATATATTATGATGGATAGAAAATCATGACAGTGAGTCTCAAAAGCCTGAAGAATGGTTCCGCGTGACAAAGTAATGTTAAGCCCCATCATTTTTGCTCTTTTAAAAGCAGACTTAGTGGAGCACTAGAATAGATATGATACAGTAGGTCAAGATCCTGCACTGGCAGGGGATGCACAGAATGACCTACTGGGTCTTTCTCCCCCTCTAACATTTCATCATTCTATGAAGTTCTAAGCCAAATACTTTTATCGCTTTTTGCCTATGTGAGCAGCTGAGCTTCGTGTCACTAGAAGTGAAGGGGTGAAAAATGATTGTGGCTGAACAGTTACCAAAAAAATAATAAAATCAGAAGTAGCCCGTTCTGGTTTGAAACAAAATTTGCTCTTTTATAATTATAAATGCACTCCCAAATACCATGGCTAAAATAATGAATTGAAAACTGAACACGGAGGACAATGATGAGGAAAGCGAGATAGAGGGGGAATGCTGGGCAAAGCAGGTGCTGAAGGGAATGAAGGATTGAAATTGCACAATAGATGAATATGGACAGACATGAAAAAAGAGATAGGTGTGCCACAAGTATTATGAGGAAGAGGCATGGTACCTCACGGAGAAAGCTGTTAAGTTGTGGGTGAACATATCAGATGACAGAGCGATTCTTCAAACAGCTCTTGTTTATTCACAGGCCAGAAGAGAACTGAACTGAAGGGTTCAGCCAGCCTGCTTATATAGAGCTCCACTACAACGCAACTGTAACCATTTTCTGTAGCCATCCAATCACTGAACGTCACTTTCAATCCCCTATTTGCATATGTGGACCTGAGTGAAAACTATCTACAGTATCCCCCTGCTGGCCCAGGGTGAGAACTTCAGTACATAATAAAAGCCAAGGCAGTTAGGACCTGGAAGAACCCACAAAGGTCTCAAATCCACCTGAAGTGCCTTGGCTCGTGGATGTTTCCACCTGAGGCTCCTGACAACCCAGCCCAAACACATACTAAACCCTACTTTGAACCCCAATTCTCCCCTTTACCAGCCAGGCCTCAAGAACGAAGGTGGCAGCAGATGCAATGAGAAGCCCAGCATCAGCATGAGATCTCCTCAAGAGAAGATCCAGCTACAAAGAATGATCCAGAAGATGACCAGGAAGAGTAGGAGATGGCATTGAGGTTATAAGTGAGAAGGTGGCAGTGAGGATTTGTGTAAAACGTACATTAAAACTGTCAATAAACATTAAAAGTTAATTACAAATTGCTTAACCTCAGTGCTGCCATACTGAAAGATCAACTCCTTACAAGCGAGGAAGTGAGATTATGTGGCACTTGTAAAATACCAGTTCCCCAGATCGAAGTGGTCAAATGGGCATATATGCTTAGCCTCCTTATTCATGCACTTTGAAATCAGTAGTGTTTATTATACTGTGTTTCGTTCCTCCCTCGTTCCATCACCCCGGTGTGGGTTTGTCCTTTTTGTGGTTGTCATGCCAATGCTGGGTGATAAATTGTGGCCTACAGAAAGGACCAGGCCTCCGTGTGTTCCCTCAGTCATACCTCAAACAAGCATGCCATGTAAAACTGAGTCCACTTCTCATCCAGCTAATTCACAGGTAGAACTCCAGCAGCTATTCGTAAGTAAAACTTCCCTATTCCCCCACAGAGCTACAATTCTCAGAATGATTTAACAATCAATCCTTCTTCCCAGGGAAATCTGGGAGCTGTTGCTCTGTGAGGGCAACAGGGGTTTCCAGACACCTCAGCACCCTTAAAAAGCTACAGCTCCTCCCATAATACTTTGGGGGAAGTCATGACTGTTTAAAATGATACCACGGTACTTTCAGCTTAGGGTGTGAACGTGGTAGGCATCCTCCACTACATCTGAGACAGCAGTCTAGTTGTAGGCTAGCCATGACAGGTCTATCCTCCAATGGAGGCTACTGACTGGGGGCCCCCCAACAACATCTGCCGCCTAAGGCAATTGCCTCACTCTGCCTAATGGCAGAATCAGCCCTCCATCTCTCTATCCCTTTCCATTTAACTTTCTTGCCTTCTTTCAATCCTTCCATATCATGCTACCTCACAGGGCTGTCACAACTTACGCAAACTCTTCAAAGTGTGGCTTCACAATTCTGCTGGTTATCAATGCCCGGCAAAGAATTATGGAGCAGACCCTCAGGTCAGGGTGGGGAGTCAGCCATATCGGAATTGGCATCATTGCCTGACATGGAATGGTGGTTTCAGCATGGCAGGAACCTCTTGAATAGTGTAATCCCAAGCTGAAAAACTGGCTGTGATGGCGCCAATATCATCTAGATGACCTTAAGTTCCTGAATGAATGAATGTAGCCTTTCCAAAGCGGTGTGCAGGCCGTCACAGTGGGATTCCCTGGTCTACATACTAACTCATTTTGCAAGCCCGCAGAGCCTTGAAAATGAAAATAATACTTGGCATCCATTAAAAGAGCTTGGAAACCGCTGAATGAAGTTTCCGTTTCCAATTATGCTAATGAATTTGATAGGGAACCTGTGAATTGTCTGTCGAAGTTTCCCCATCATCACCTCCCCCACAACCTAGCTTGGGTGTCCATGTGCCAATAATAAATCAGGCCTTTTGATTTGAAAAGTGTTGTTTTAATTTCAGAGGCAATTGTACCTGCTGAGATTTAAACTTCCCACCCATTGACCGAAAAGCTCCAGAGCCAATAATTAACTGTGGTTCTAGCAATTATCATCTTTGCAAACCACTAGGGGGCAAGATCATCACACTCAGCTCTTTAATTCGAGTAGAACAGTTTTTCAGGCCTCTGGAAGAATTTTTGCAGAAAGAATCTACCTTCTTTTTAATACAATTACACAGGCACTGCAGAAATTCAGCAATTACTGGTACATATTCCGAACCAGTGTCTCTGCAAATATTATTGAAACAAAGCCACTTCAGTTCTAAGACCATCTCAAGAGAGAATAAATAAATCCAATCTATTCTTAAAAATAAATAAATCACACAGCACAAAGCCAGAACCAAAATTCCCACATATTACAGTGTTAATATTTACACTGCTGGAAACAGGACAGAAGCAGTCCTTTAAAGACCCACTTTCTGCTATCGACCATTCTCTATTATTTATTTCTATTTTTGGCCATAGAGAGGGTTAAAAAAATAAACATATAGACAGCATTAGTATAGACCGTGAACTTACCAGATTACCATGCCTATTCAAATGATCATCAAATGTATTCCTTTTTTTAAGCAGGCAAATTTCATTTTGTCAACAAAAAGGGTGCTGGAAACCTGCCGCAGAAGATATTGGCTGCTTGCTTTGAATCTATATGTGAAATTTAGAGATGCCTGCAAAACTTGTTCTTCTGAGACCTGGTACAAGTTCTGAGGGCTCATAATGCCTGGACCTCAGTGCAATTCCACACACACACACCCCTTTGTTCCCATTGACCATCCAATCACCCCAAGTCACTTCTCTCCATCCATTTGAATGAACTTTTGAAAGTAAAAATCAACACTCCTTGCGCTCCATTCCCCCTTTTCCCTACGCTCAGAACTGGCACATCATGCAAGGCTGGGCTTCAGCAGCAGCAGCCTCTTCTGCTTCTCACCCGCTCTCCATCTGCTGCTACAAGCTGCCATAGAAGGCCAGCGACAGTGGCCATGGAGAGCCAACAGGATGCTTCCTCGCTGCTGCCGCCCTTGAGACAAGTGGCGGCTCCTCCTCCTCCTCCCTGAGCTCGGCGGTGTCACTGGCAGGGAAAAGGAGGACATTGCGGGGACAGGCGGAGTCCCCCAAAACCCTGGGCGGCCCCCATGTGGAATAACGACTCAAGACAATGTGCTATGGGATTAAAATTGGCCACAACTTTATTATGTTTCAGATGTGGGTAGAGCTTGGCTCAGGCATTGGGCGTTTATCCCTCCCAGTCCACCGCCGGAGATCTGGGGAACATCAGGGTTATCCAGTGGGGGGGGGGGGATGGACTGGCTCTGTTCAAGCAGAGAGAGCCCGCCCCATTACGCTGCCGTCGGAGGGGAGAGCAATGATGACCTCTAGGCGTACGGTCAAAGCCTCCCCTCAAACAACCCCTTTAATGGGGAACCCTGGTATCGCCACCGCAAAGAGGAAGGGGGCATGGGTCACCACTGCAGCCCCCCCCCCATTCAGGGAAGATAGATTAAAGGATTCCACCCAAGGCCTGATACCGCAAAAGTTGTGATATTTTGCTACGGGAAAGGCAAACCTGCCATTGCAGAATTCCTTTCCGGCCCTTCAACAGCGACCTTAAAGTAGCAGCACCCACAAAAGAAGTCTTAACTGAGGGTGGGTAGGGTGGGAGAAGCTCTGAAGCCAACTGACGATTCCCAGGTAAGACCCTCCCCCTGTTGTGTGGGCAGGTAGTTCCTCCCCCTACCTGTCCTGATCACCTTGGCAACGCCTCCCCAGGCAGGATTGGGCAACTGGCTGAGGTAGGCGGAGACCTCCAGATATCCCACCTGGGGGAAGACGAAGCCAAGCCTGCGTTAATGGTGCCGCATAGGGTCCAGGGGGCTCCGCGAGAACCACACAAAGGGTGCCCCCCCATTTAATGTGGGGAGCAGTCATTCTGGGATCAAATAAGAAGCCAGGGTGGCTTTTGTAATTCTGCGACTGTCCCTGGGAAACCAGGCCTATCAGGGTCTTACATCCTGATCTATGAAGCATGACAGACATAAGTGGCCAACCTAAATATCATTAATGCGCACACACCATACATTCAAAGTGCACACTCCCCCAAGAATCTTAGAAACTTTTACCCCTTCGAGGAACTATAATTCCCAGAACCCTTAAACTATAGTTACCAGCATTCTTGGGATGTGTGTTTCAAATGTGCTTCAAAAGCTTGGTGTTTATGCAGCTGTACGGATTGATAATAAACCTGACTAGCATAAGACACATATTTAAACTTTGTATTTTACATTTCTTTCCTTTTTTTACAGAATAACATGCGGGGAGTCTAAAAGAATGAAGTTGCAGCTAATGTCAATGCATTCCAGTGAAGAGACAATGCTTTGCACCAACACAGGATGCGACCATGCTCATTAAAATGTGACAATCAGCCTTGATGTTGTGCCTGATTTCCTGTGATTGTACATGCTTTCGTTACGGTGAAGTCATCTCAGATTCTCTCAGTTATAACCTCATCATGATCTAATGCGCTGCCTTTTTTTATCGCAGCTATAAAAAAATTCCAATTGCATTCATCAAAGGGCAGAAAAAAACATAAGCATTCAACAGGAAATCACTGTTATCATTTATAAGGCCTTACTTACAAGTAAAGCTGCTGCATTCTGCAAATATCCCAGCTAATGAATCAAATGTGCCTTCTTACGTGAATTTTGAAAACTTTCATATGTCTGCATGTAGATGTTGCTTTGGATAACTGAAAACAATACAGATGTGCCTTTTCTTCTATCCTCCCACCTTTCGTTTCCTTATAAGAAAGATTGCTACTGTTCTGGCTAAAAACTGTGCATATTAACTAACTGGTTACCTAAGACATTTTTAATCTTCAGTGGTTCTTGAAAAGAATACAGAGTGGAAGCTGGACTCTGGAAAGACGGGAAAAGGGAGAATGTCAGATTAGCCCAAACTCCCAGGCCCTTATCACTGAAAGAAAAGTCTGGCAAAGGACATTCAAGGACATTGTTAGAGCTCAAACAGTAATTATATAATTACATAAGAAAAAGCAGGTGCAAAGGGTAAGATTTGGAAACCCTAATCAACATTTTGCTTTTAAGGGAGAAATTTATGCAGTTTAGGAAGGAATATACTTCATAACATATTTGCAGCTGGAAGAGCAATAGTCAGACTATCCAATCAAACTTATTTTATATAAATTATATATATATATATATATATACTTTAAAAAATAAATCATATACGTAAGCATACAATTCAGTTTTCCTGATTGTATGTGACTAATTTTTACTCAGAGTAGACCCATTGAAATCAATGAACTCCAGTTAGTCATGAGCATTAATTTCAAATATCTAACCTACTTAACAAAAAATGATGGTTCCAATAAATAATAAAATAATTACATTCATTTGCTTCATATAACCAAGAATTTGTTTCATAAAGCTTGTCAATTTCTTCCGTCAACCATATTCTCCATGAATACATTTCCAACACTGTAAACAACCATTCTCTGGTAGCAGCAATTTTTGAATGTTGCCAATACATGACCAAGAACTATAGAGAAATTAACAATCAAATTTTCACATCCTTAGTCTTGTCTATCCATTACATAATGAACAAACATCAAATT